TCTCATTTCTCCCCCTCTGATAACGTGTGCTCCCCATTACTCTCTCCCACCACTTCCCACAACGCTGTGGGGAAAGAACTCCTTTTTGTACCAGCCTCCATTCTGATGACCCAATCTTGGCTTTAATGAACCTGGGGCTCCTCATTTCCCCACAAACTTTCTTGTGAGGCCATTCCCTCTCCCATCTAAGCCTCAGGAGGCACTGTCTTAGCTACTTTTCTTGTTACTTGAGACAAAATATCTGACACCCAAAGTTAAGGGAGGAAAGGTTTATTTAGCTCAGTTTGTGGAGATTTCAGTCCATAACCAGCTGGCTCCAACACAGGGTGGTACATTGCAGAGTGGCATCAGAGGAAAAGCAGATCATGGTGGGCAGAAGGTAGCAAAGTAACAAGGGACAACCACAGCTCTACCTGATCTTCATATCTTATCCAGGCTTCTCAGGGTGGGTAGCACTCACACCTTTAATCCTAGTGCCCTTGATCCTAGCATCCCACCATGAATCAATCCCAATGTCACACACCCTAGATCCAGCCATTTCTGAAAAAGCCCCACTTGTGACCGCACGAGGCTTTGGGGGACTTCTAGGCACAGCTACAGCAGGCACCATTAGAAAACTTCTGCTCCTGTGTCTCCAGCTGTCTGATGTGCATTGTTGAGGACCCAGGGTGCAGCCTCCTGGTGCTTCAAGAGCTATAGACCTGGCCTGGTCCTTCAGTGGCCATGTCTACATTTAGCCTTTTCCCTCCCACCTCCCACTCCTGACTTCTGCCAGCCTGTATTCTCCACACTTTTCTCCTCTGCCTTCATTCCTAATGAACCTTCTGTAACAACTCACCACCTTCCAGCTCACTGATGAGCTGGTGAACACTTAAAACCACATCTCTGCCCTGGGACACATCAGAATCACAGCTGGTCCTTGAAGCCAGACGGAGTACCATTCCTGTCTCAACCTATCATAGCATTCTTCACCCTTTCCTCTCACCAGATTCAAAACATGTGCCTTTAATTAGGGTTCTGTACTTAATTGGACCTTCTTCATTTTAAAGTACAACCGTCCCTTTCATTCACAGCAAAAATCTGGTATAATATCCAAATCAGGCATAAAATCTGAGTTCCTGCCATGGCCACAAATGCATCTGCTCACAGTGCTGGCTGTAGTCCACCTCCTCAGCCCTTCCCAGCTAGCTCTGGGCCAGGACTGCTTCCCTCCTGTGGCCCTTGTCAGCTCACCAGACTCTGGGTGTCCTGCAAGTTTGGCCAGTGGGAACCCTGACAGGGGACCAGAGAGTGAGAAGAGAGGCTGGGGATTTCTTCCCTGTTCCCTTCTCTGTCAGTAATCTTAGGCCTCTGAATACACAGCTCCCTGAGGCAGCTTCTCTTCCAGAATCCCAACTAAAATTCTGCTGGCTCTGGTGTGACTCAGTTTCCTTCCTGTTTTTTCAGAATATGGTAGTAATAGCTTCCAGCTCCTACAAATCCTTAGTATGTCCCCTCTTTTGGACTACCTTAACCCCATCTCTAAAGTGCCTTTTTCATGAAGGTGTCTGCATCTGGGAAGAATTCCTGTCTCCTAACTAGACCAAGCCTCTGCTTGTCAATTCCTTCATCCTTCCCAAGGTCGTTCTCCCTTCTGCTCAAGGGTGATAGCTCCACCCCTTGTTCCTCTATCTCCCTCTTCCCTGTACATTAATCTCTCCCATTCTGTTTCATTTTCTTACTCTAAACACACACTTAGTCTTCCATCGCCTGCTTTGTGCTCTGTGTTATGCTCCTATCTATTCCATTTTATCTTATCTTTTATTTCATTCCATCTTCTGAAGAATATGATCTCATTCATTTCTTCCCTCTCATTTACATGGCACAGCACTCTTTGCTGAGATTATCGGGTAATGGATAATCACCAGGTACAAAAAATACACCAGGGTATCTTATGCAATCTCTCTGAATTGGGATGATACATGGTCATGAATGTGGCTTTGGAGTCAGATCACTTGGCCAGTTCCTAACTCAGTGTGGTCCTGGCATATTTTGTAACCTCTCTGATGCTTGACGTCTTTGTGCAAAATGAGATGTAAACTATCTGTCTATAATAGGCATGCACTGCCGGTGCGCAGGGAAACTCCATCAAAATGGTTATGGTGGTTATCACTGCTTTTCTCTTGGAATGCATTCTTCCACAGCATTGATCAAACTATGCTTCCATATCTATCTTCCAAATTCCAACCAGTTTTTCCTAGTGCCCATCTAGAGATGCTGGCATTTTCAAGTGTCACCCTCATGCACTGACAGCTCATCAGGACTGGATCTCTCCCTACAGAGGCCCTCATAGCTCACATGTATTCCACAATTCACCTTTCCCTCTGATGGACAGGACTCAGGTCAGGCTTGTTATCCAGGTCAGAAGTGCGGGCTGTGCTTTGTGCTCTTCTCAGTAGGTGATGCTGGGCAGCAAGGTGCCAGGGGCAAGAAGCCACCATTATGAACTGGGGGCAGGTGCTCAGCGGCAGGGTGCTTTCCTCTGTGTTGTCACACTGTCTTAGTTCGTTGTCTGTTATAACACAATCCCACAGAGTGAGCAAGTTATAAAGAAAAGAGGTTTATTTTTAGCTCATGGTTCTGATCCAAGGTTAAGGGCCTGCAGTTGGTGGTCGCCTCGCTGGCAGAATCCTGAAGTGGTGCAAGGTGTGTGTGTGTGTGTGTGTCCTGTGGTCTCTCTTATGCTTATACATCCATCAGGATTCAATCATGAGGGCTCCACCCTGATAATCTTATCTAATCCAAATCACCTCCCGAATTCTAGATGCACAGCTCCTAACTCTAGAGGCACAGCTAGATTAACTATCTATCTCCTTAATACCTTACCTTAACTTACCTTACCTTGAGGATTGGAGTCCACCTTGCATTGTCAGGGAGAACAAGCCATATTCAAACCATAGCACAGACTGGACCTTTCATTTAAATGTATCATTACCCAGCCCAGTAGTCTCTTCTTGCCTCCATCTCTAGGTTTTCCAAGGCTGATAAACTAGACACTTGGGGTTTGGGGCTTGGGCCTCAAATAAGCATCTACACTCCCCAGTTTGAGCAAAGGGTTTTCCTGTGAGGGGTCCTGAGTAGTCTGCAGGGCTTGGTAGCCGCTGTAAATGTGGAAAAGCTTTGGGCTTCTCTGCTTGTCTCCTGTGTTCCAAAATGACCATCTTGCAGCTAAGTGGCTTTATTGTATATGTGATGTTCTTGGAATTTTAATCACCTTCTTTGAGTATATATATCTTTTCATATACAGTCATTTATTCTGTCGTTCATATTTTTAAATGTCCTATTTCCATCCATTGACCCAATCATAATAACAGAGATCAAAATCTCCTGTTGGCTAAAGGGTTAACTCTGGAGCCTTTTCCCTCCCTTCCCTGGTGACTAATAATGGGCACAAGTGTCCTCTACTCCTTTATCAAAGAGAATCAAGGGCAAAGAGGGGCGGCTCTGAATGTGCGTTCAGTGTACATTCATAATAAAAGCTGAGCCGAATGGCACATTCATGGCTGCTCTTTGATGTAACTGAACGTGTGAATGAAAGTTTGGGGCACAGCTCACCTCCAAGGGAGTGGTCCTGTTCACACTCAGACCTGACCCGTGGATCATGAATTTCCCTGTAAAATTATTTTTTCCTCTCTCCATAACAGTCGTCCTCTTCCTCCCAGCATCTTTGTAATCTAGCTGGGTAGATATTTTCTTTTCTCCTTTTTTTCCCACACTGCTGTTGGAGAAAAGATCCCGCCCTTGATTGAAATGGAATCTTCCACTATTGAGCGAGCCTTTGTTGAATGAGTCATCGGGGAGGCCGCTGATTGGTGGAGGACGCCGGAGCCCAGGGGATTGCCTGGCACCGGCTGCAAGGCCCGGCTTCATTCACAGAAACGCTGGCTCGCTCGCTAGCCCTTTCATTCACACAAAACAGCATTTCATTCACATTTTGCCGTTTTTGTCTGCTTCTAATGAAGATCAGAGTTTGGGGATGACAGGGCTATTTTGCTTCAGATTTGAGGGGCACTCTGATAGCCACCAAAACCCTAAATGGGGCGTGCATTTGCTGTTGCTATGCAAGCGAGGGGCAGAAAAAAAATGAGTGCCGGGTGGTTTTCTGCTAGGGCTGTGGCGCAGTGGGAGAGTCGCGGGGATGAGTTTCCTGCTCCGGGGACAGCGCGGCCCCAAGCGCTCCTGCGTCCCAGCAGCCGGCCCCACCTGAGACCCAGCGTGTCAGCGCTCCTTGAACCCTGCTGCACAGTGCTCCGTGCAAGGCCCGGCCCTCAGGTGCCACATGTGTTCAGGCCTGGGCATGAGAAGACCCAGGTCGAGCTGGTAGTGTACCAGAGATGAATTCACTCGTTTGCACACAAGTTGCTGGGAAATTTTGATAGTGAGTGTTTCATGGCGGGGGATAGGTAGTCTTTAACGCAGGAGGCCAAGTGGCAGAACCCACGGCGGGAAGGAGTCCTTGGGTCCCAGCCTTGGGCGGATCTCTGGTGCCTGCTGGCGGCCCGCTTTCCTAACGCAGAGGAAGAAGGCCTGTGCAGCTCCTTCCAAGCCTGCACCTGCCTCCAGAAAGCACCCCTCCCTCCCCTCTGGATTTGATGTGCACAGAGAGCAGCTGCGTTCTCCCCTCCCTGAGCAGGGCTGCAGGCCGTAACCGAAGGGCTTTGAGATGTATCGGTGGCTTATTAAAGGCGTTTTCCTGGAGCTTAGACACATTCAATTAGAATAAAGCTCTAAATGCAGCTTTGGAATGGATTTCTGGAGCCTGTGGCCTCAAAGAAGCTCTCTTCCTTTTTGGAAGTAGATTTTTCTTCAACTTAACCCTGGCTGAGAAAGACTGCTGCAGATTGGTAGGGAAGAGCCCATTGAGCCACCCCGTGCAGAAGTTCATAAGCAGATTTATTTTATTTTATTTTTATTTTTTGAGGCTCTGCATTGCCACAAAGACACCCATTATGGCTGCTGTGTTGATTTGAAAAGAAAAAAAGAAAGCCCCAGGGAATTGCCACTTTCTGTTCACCTGGGGGGTGGTGGTGGTGGTGAATAGTTCTTTGCTTTTTTCTATGTGAAAATTCTTGCTGCTTTCCAAATCAGATTCAGGAAGATTCGCTGAAGACTTATTCTTAAACAGCCTTAGTCATATTTTAATGCATCGCTGTCAGACACTTTTGGGGCTCACGCAGATGAGCTGAGCAGGGAAGAGAAAAACCTAACAGGGACTCCTGGGGTCTCCGAAAGTTCATTCTATCACTGGAAGAACTGGGTTTAGCTTTGGCACCAATGCGGAACGGGGGATGGGAAAGTGAAAAATCAAAGGTTGGAAGGGAAAGAATCTGGGAAGGTAGAAAAAGGAAATTTGAGAATTGATTGGCTCCAGTTGCTGTCAGCGGGTGGATGTCGTTTTTTTCTTCCTTTCTTCTTCTTTTTTTTTTTCCCTACAGGAAGTGATTTGCAGTGCTCACCGAGCCTTTGTTGAGAGGGGCTCCTCGCAGAGTGAGTCATGCTTTTGCTGAGAGCAGCCCGAGCAGCTGGGCTCTCTCTCCACCAGAGGCAACTATGACTTTTGCAAAGCAGACGTTCCACCCTGAGCAGCGGGCTCTGCGGCCGGGGATGCGCGGCCGCCGCTGGGCTGGCTTTTGATGGTGGAGGGCCCGGTGCTCAGACCTCGCTGTCCCTCTGCAGAAGGCTGTCGTGGGACCCCGGCTCTCCGTCCCGCTCCGGGGCCCGCGGCTCGCCTGCTATGCGCGGCAGCCCGCGCCGGGGCCGGCACCAGCGGCGCCCGGGCGGATGCGGCGAGCCCACGGAGGGGCATGCTTCCACGCACCAAGTACAACCGCTTCAGGAATGACTCGGTGACCTCGGTCGATGACCTCCTGCACAGCCTGTCGGTGAACGGCGGCGGCAGCGGCGGCGGCAAGGTCTCGGCGGCGCGCGCGACCCCCGCGGCGGCCCCCTACTTGGTGTCCGGCGAGGCGCTGCGCAAGGCGCCCGACGATGGGCCCGGCAGCCTGGGCCACCTGCTCCACAAGGTGTCCCACCTGAAACTCTCCAGCTCCG